GTCAACTGATATGTATATCTTTATGTAAATCTCATCTTGACCTGTCTCAGTAATTACATATCTATGTTAATTAGTATGATACATTCTAATGTTTGATTTCAAAATAGCTCTTCGACTAAACTTTGACATGAAGATGTAAAATCATTTCATATAAAGTACAATTTTCCCATATACTAATGATAATTAATTTCATAAAACTGACAGCTTAATTAACCTGCCAGAGATAGGTACAGATTAAAACGGAAAGATCAGAAGGTATGGTCGAGTATAAAAATGTATCAAAATATGACATGTAGACTTAGCTTCGAGTTAAAAGCGGTTCCCAAGTCAATTGTTCAATAGATACACAAGTGACACAGATATGACTTTGTGATACTTCAGAGGAAACATTTTGGCCGGGAGCACTAACTTCTCTATCGGTGAGTACCTTGGAAATGAACATCCAGTATAGTTCCTTCTGTACCAAATCTGCACAAAACTATTGACATAGTATTTAGTATGCAGTTCATTTTTTGTAGCATTGCTAGTGCTGTTTGACACTAATTGTGAAATTAAGGAGATGCGATAATCATTGCTTAGAACATTTTGAGGGGAAAGAAACACTCGAGTATTTTTTTCTGTTTTACGAAGTAAAAGATTATTTGCGAAAAAAAATTGGACACAACAGCACACTATCTGGTTAGTGTGCAGATACTTCCATTTTCATATAGACCCACCTGTCTCCGATTCAGGGACGGGACTCATTTTCCTCTCCACTCTGGCAGACGTAGAATAAAAATGAGGAAGAGTTAATTAGGTGTTAGAGAATAGAATGAATTGAAATGAGAGAAAATATCCCAAGTTTTCTGCTATTCTGACAATACTAACAGCCTACCTCTATGTGTAATTCATTATTTCACACTACTGTGTCTAGTTCTAAATTTAGACCCTTAGCATCACTGACGCGTCTTAGGACAAAACAGCCGTGGGATACAGTTTGATTTAACATTTGCCTCTATCTAATTTTTCATTGAAACGTGTTATTCGTTTTTGTATATTTTTTACAAAACGATACAGTGACAGGTTTAAACTCGGAAGTGTTGCATTGTTAAGGGAATTGAATACAGGGTTATAGTATATATACTAATTCACCTTCTCTATCTTTTGTATACATTTTCCAATTCTGATCTGAATATTTTAAATCAAGCTGTTCTGTGATAACAATGAAGTACACGAGTTTGTGTTTTCTATTTTTCTTGAGAGGTTTGGCACTATTATTGCCCCAATGGACGAAACGCTTGTATTTTCCTGAGTCTCAAGTATAAAGGACTTAAGTTGTTGTACAAGTACATTTAAAAAACACTTATTGGAGTAAGTCTATCATAGTACTGTGTCTGAGAAGAAAGGGTGTTAAGTGTTGTTTAAATGCAATCATTTCTTTAGATACCCACGAGTGATTCTTCAACACCTACAGACCTGGTAGTAACAGGATCCGATTCAAATGTATGCTTTGAATGAATGGGTGTGAAACACGTCCCTAAGAGTCATTGACATACCACAATCGTAGTTGCGGTCTATTGGCTGGTTTGTCGGGATTAGGAAGTGTCCTCCCTTGGGTTAATTCTCACATGGCAACTTTCTAGAATCTAGTAATATCGACGGTATGGTCCAATATTGATACTGGTTCCTAACAAACAAATGTTCGTTGGATGCGTATTACTGGGATAGATGTATGATCAATGAAGGTAATAACGACAGTACGGACAAGTGAATTGTCAAATTTTTACCTTAATCTGCCCCACTGTTCTCGAGTTTAGTTAATTATTTTGTATTTGTTTTATGTTCAATTTATGTGATGTAATTTATGTAATATTTGTGTCGTGATAAAAGGGCAGACTGCCTCGAAAATTTGACAATTCACTTGTCTGTACTGTCTTTATTACTTAATATAATATAATATGCTATAATATGCTATAATATAATATAATATAATATAATATAATATAATATAATATAGTTTCCTTTAAATCAGAAGACATTTGGACCATTGAAGTTTCTCATAGAGTCAAACTTCCTGAAACGTCGTCAAAATTATAACTGTAGTTAGTATTATTAACCAGCGGAAATATTATCGTGGCCAGAGATTACCGGAAGTGTTCGTGCATATACCAAAATTAGAGTAATATCCTTCACCAGGATACATTTACTATTGTTTAAGTGCCTCCATATGTAGTTTTCCACGTTACTGTAAAGCAATATCTATTTTAAGTGGTGCAATTTTCATGGTTTCCCGAAACATACTAATTTCATGCACACTTGGATAACTAAGTCAGCAAATCTACATATACTTACATTCACAGTTCGTGGACATGAATTCGAGAATTAAGAATGTCATAGAAATCAACTAAAATAACTCCCCACGAAATTCAGTGAATTTACAATTCGTTTTCCGCTTTATGTAGTGCGAACACATAATCAATGTCTTAAAAATTGATTTTCTTTTCTGCGCAAACAATGAATTACGAAAACAAACATTTCTGGTTGTGCGACCGGAAAGGTTATACGTTACTAAATCGGTCTATCAACAGTTATGATGATTAGAACCCATTGATTAACATTCCTTATTAAAATTTTCCGAATTAGCAGGAAGTTGCGCAAGAAGAATAAGTAAATTAAAGACTATCATATTCGAGGGATTCCAGTTTTTACGCCTATTTGTGAATGAAATAAAGTCGTGAATCATTAATTAAAAGGAGATTTAACGTCTTTGCAACAGCCATGGTCATACGAGGTATCAAAAAGAAATAAGGAATTAGTAAATATATTCATTTCGCTTCAGTCTTTTGATATAAGACGAAAGTTTGAGTCATAACACAAACTTAACAGTATACAGGCGTACTCAAGACATCTGTATACATCGGACAGGGAACTGGCGACTCGGTGGTGGACACACATCGATGGCGGCGATCGACGTTCAATCTATCAGTTGTCCGAGTATGAGAAATAGATGGGGGCGGGGGGAGTTGGTGGCTGGTTATCCTCTTTATTATTTCATTTTCATTCTATATTTAAGGTCACGAAGGGTGAAATACGCTGTAAAACGTATTGTACCTGCCAGTAATGGTTAATAAATCCCTTTGCTTTTGACCTCTTCTGAAAACCCCTTTTGTTAAGCCTTTTGTTGACTATGATCAGCCCTGTTTTTAAGTCGTGGTCCTTACAGAACGCAGTAAATAATTTTCTAATTTTATTTCATATTTACTGGTCTGTTTGTTTTGAACTGTACAAATTTAAAAGTTCAACCCATGAGTTTCAGTTTTAACCATCAACAATAGGCTTGTGAAGAAGCCGACTCCCCGGAGTTATAATGAAACTACCTGGTGTTTGCTCCGCGTTACATTTAGTCCAAGGCTACTGTAAGTTCAAGGACAGGTATGAATTTACGACAAATGACTGTAATCACCCTTAATCCATTTTCCTTGTGAAATTTAGAGAAATTGTATAAGTGACTTAGGATGTGAGATGTGAGTCTCTTTCTTCGAATATCACCAGTGAGCGTTATGCTGGAAATAGAATACAAAAACCGGTTAGGTGTTGGTTAAAAATAAACCGAGATAGTGTAAGATAAATATTAACCTGGTTAGAGTTACTTCAATTTAAACCTGGTTAGTGTTGGTTGAAAATAAACCGTGTCAGTAAAGGTTAATTATGAACCGATTTAGTAGCATTTTAATATAATCCGGGTTAATGAAGGTAAACTATAAACTAGGTTAGTTGCATCGGAAAAGGAACACAGTTTAAACTTCCTTTTTTCTCTTTTCCTCATTAAACAAGACATTTTAAAGCTTTTGTAAAAAGCAACGATGACCTTTTGTGATATTTTGATTTTGTGTTGGTAGGGGAGTTTGGGATGTGTACATTGTACGTCCACACAAACAAGAGGACATGAATATTTCAAACTATGAAGTGTCCTATCGCATAGTATAGCTCAGAATTATACGTGTTGTTGTTCAGACGTGAGAAGTGCTAGGAACCACGGGGCGATACGTTTCATAACAGATCTACATCATGTTGATAACGTATCGAACCAATAGATCAGAATGGGTTTATCACCCCTGACCAGTTTGATCGACTGTAACAACAGATAATTCGACCACGGATGACCATTATTGTCCAGTAGGACTTGTCCCTCAAGCTCAAATCTTAGCACGTGTTCTTTTTGGACGGGATAAGAAAAGCATGGCTTTGATTTCTGGCCTGCGGCCATGGTCACGTTCGTTCAAATCTTGTCTTTACGTCAGTGTAATGGAATGACGAGTCGAAGCATGGCTGTTTATCTTGTCGTTAACAGAACTACGAATCATGATTTTTAAAATTCTATTTTCTTTTAACAGACTTTTTCACTTTTCCTCTCTTATTTTCAAGTGTATCTTGTTGCTGCTGCTGCTGCTGTTGCTGTTGCTGCTATTGTTGTTGTTGTTGTTGTTGTTGTTGTTGTTGTTGTTGTTGTTGTTGTTGTTGTTGTTGTTGTTGTTGTTGTTAGTGTCATTCATGACATCCGTCCTGATGTTGCGAGGACGTTAAACCAAGTATAACAAAGACAAAACCCTTCACAAGTATTTACGAGGGAAAAGAAATAAAATGACACCATTAAAATGCCTAACACACATCGTAAGGAAAAGACATTCTAAACGTAAAATGAGGACGTTTCGGAAGTAATTATTCAGAAAAATAGAATCTACATGACCAGTATCTTGTAAAGGATTAGATGTTTCTTAAGACACTTTGCACTGGTAAACAAAACCAAAAAAAAAGAGTCTTGGATTTTCGAAGTTTATGTGTACATATAAAGACGTCAGATATAAGACGTTTAGATAAATATGGCTGACCTTTCAAATGTGATAAAATAAGGTCGTTACGCCGTCGAGACGGAGGTTATCCCAGTACAAACCATATTTTTTGTGGTAATATACAAAACATACAAAATAGAATTATTACATCCGTTATCTTTGTGTTTTCAGATCAGGTAACCAGAATCTTTCCGTGGCAGATAACAAGGACGACGGACGGACACACATGAAAATACAGATGCAAATGCTTCATCAGACAGTCCTGTTTCAGGATGATCAGGAATTCCACAACTACAAAATGAGAGACTATCATCGTCCATCGTTAGACAGTATATCTGAAAACAACGATGATAATAACAACGAAAGTAGAAAAAACTGTAGCAGTTCATCGCTCGTAGAGGCACCTCTGATCACAGTAACCGGATGTGACGTAGTGGACGATAACGGAAATGAAAGTGCGTCAAATAGTTCTTCACCAGCAAATAGTGATTCTGATCTCGGACGTTTGAAATTAACAGCAACAAGATTACGACTAGGTACAAGAAGAGCTAGTTATATAGAATGGAGAGAGAAATATTTAGATCGGCCTCGTAGACGATCCAAGCCGGATCTTAAATTAGATTCCGACGAAAATGGAAACGACAACGATAAGTTAACGGATGAACGGAAAGAACGGATAAATGAAGCCCTGGAATGGCTGAGAACAGAGCTGGTAGGTGTTTATGTATGTTTAATGCGCATTGTTCGGTCGTAATTGTACTACTTCCTGTATTTCGTTTAAATCACTCTGTTATGAGCAAATGTATATTTTTATTATCCCTTTTAATAAAAGAAAACAACAAAACCGAAGGAATAAAACAAAGAAACAAAAGCGAAATAGAAACTTTCAACTTTTAGTACATTTTTCAAATATCGGCGAGAATTTTTCGACTTACGTTTGTATAGGAAGGGAAACAACTCTTATCAGATATTGCAAAATTTTCAACATTTTCTTTCTTTCTTTCTTTCTTTCTTTCTTCTTCTTCTTCTTCTTCTTCTTCTTTCTTCTTCTTCTTCTTCTTCTCCTTCTTCTTTCTTTCTTTCTTTCTTCTTCTTCTTCTTCTTCTTCTTCTTTCTTTCTTTCTTCTTCTTCTTCTTCTTCTTCTTCTTCTTCTTCTTCTTCTTCTTCTTCTTCTTCTTCTTCTTCTTCTTCTTCTTCTTCTTCTTCTTCTTCTAGCGTGACATCATACTACAATTTTAGAAAGTCTGTGATATATTATGGCACCAAATTTCCAGCTGCGTAATATGTCATATTGTACCATTTTATAAAAGCAAATACTATACATATAACAATATATAATTTAATGTTGATTTTAGGAGGAGATGCGTTCACAGGACCAAGCGTTGGCAAGGACGCTGCTTTCGTTACGTCACGATATTCATCAACTCAAACTCCAGAGGAGTTGTGATGCACACAAAGATATGCTGGAGGAGGTGAAACTCGATATGGAGGACATTCAAGAAATACGAGATATATCAGACAGCCCCTCAGACGTTCTGGAAAACCCTTTCAAACATTTGGGAGTGACTCCAATGAATTTATCCGCACGAAGATTTTCAATATTTTGATATTCTGTTTCTCATTGTTATTGGTTGTGAGTGGTTTCTGAATCAGTAATTAACATAGAACTTGTGTATTGAAATCATGATGAAATCTGCCGACGGAAAACATGTAATATTTATACATTCTAGAAGTCGAGGCGCACCTCAATGCGCCGAGAGTCTAGCTTCTAACAGCACAATGGAGAATTCATCAGAATCATTCTCTGGTCATTTTTTCTTAACAGCAGATCGCCATTTTAACAGTCTCTGTGTTCAATTCTTAACTTCATCATCGTCTTCGACAGGGTGGGAGAATGTGTACACAAGGCAAGAAAGCTTTATCTTACATCGATGAAGCAATAACATACCGAATGTATTTAATATAAGACCAAATGGAGAATTATTCATGACGATATAAAAATAGCACAAGGATGGTACTTGATTGTGAATATTGTATTGCATGATAGTTGATTTCCCTGTAAGCGAACACTACAGGTCTGTGGTTCGATTTCTAGCAGTTACAGTGCGAATGTTCTATAAATAAATTGTATGATTCAAATGTGTACATTCTTAACTTCTGATTCCAAACACTGTTCACTGTCTGTATATATGTGACCAGCGCAAACCTTTTCTGAAATTGTGTTAAAATGAATAAATGTGCATATTTTGAACATTGTTACATAATCAACGAAGTAGACAAATTTTGACTCGTGCCCTGTCCGGTCCTCGAACTCACGTTCTACAGCAACAAATCGCTTAGACAAAATAATCCAGACAGCCTAATCTATACACCATCACGACATATCTGTACAATGAGCAATGAGTGAGGTTTTATTTTTAAATATCCGACAAAATAAATCGTAGATAAGAATGTTTCAATTTCAGGGCAGAAGATCATGTCACTATTTCACTTCGGCTGTATGACAGACGTGCACAAAGTGATTCAATATCAAATAACGATACATTTATACCGTCATTTTATAGGTAGGATATTTCTGGTACATGCTCGTCACTATCATTAAAGAAAAAAGAAAGATGGAAAATTAACAAAACTGAAAAAATCAATGTTCCAAAATGTCGCAAACTAAAGACTGAATTTGTGGAAAAGTAACCTGAAAAGCTTACCGAACAACAATGATAAAAGTACACCACTGGCGGTTCTTTTGAAGAGTTTCTGTGTGTGTGTGTGTGTTTTTTTCACTTTCCTGAATAGATTAAAATCTCGAAAAGAAGACACAATTGAAATGAAACCAACAGAAAACAATGTTTCGTTTCGCACCTTCGTTAAGCGTTAGGTAAAAACTTTAAAGCGAGAGAAAAAATACCTTAGAGTATATTCTTTTCGAAAAAAAAACCCTTAACCTTTAAACCATGTGTTTCGTGTGTTAAAAGTACTGATTATAACACAAAGGTAACAACAAACAAAGAGGACAGCTTATAAAGACACAAGAACCCTTATGTTCTTGTCGATAAGATATTTCAAAAGAGCCAGATCCGAGATAGATCTTGGCGCCCGTCATTGCGTGGCATATATTTGTTCTTTAAGTGTTTATTTTTTTTTATTATTATTATTTTCTTTCTTTCTTTTTCTTCCTTTCCTCTGTTTGTGCTTTTAGATGTATGACATTTGAAAATTCCTCAAAAGAAATACAAAATGCAACGACAATAATGTTTAACTGTCAAATCCCATATGGTTTCCCGATCGGCCATTTTGTTTTTCGGATCAGTCCCAAAATTAAAAGGTCGCAACTAGGGAGTATAAATGAAATTTGGAGACAACGATAACAGACTTTCATAGTCAAAATACAATATTGCCGCATGTCCTTCATTTTTCTGAACAGTTCCAAAATCTAAAGGCCACAACTGGGGGGTAATCGGAACCTTTAAATGAAATTTGAGCCAATCCAGCACTTATCAAGAGATGGTGACAATAAAATTTCATTGTCAAAATCAAAGATGGCTGCCATTCAGCCATTTTGTTTTTTCATCAGACTAAAACAAAAAAGGTACGACAAGGGACCAATTGGAAGTACTATGTCTGTCTGTAAGTCAATCTTTTTAAATTAGATCCAAAGTCAGAAGGGCACAGCTAAGGACTAAGGGGAACCTCCATGTGGAATTTGAGAAATAGGGATAACAAAAATTGCTTACGGATGGATGGACGAATCATTAAAGTAATTTCACGTTCTCAATTAAGAATATTTTTTACAACAACGGAAATGCCAGACAGACTAAAAAACATTAACACTTCCAACTTTATATTGCACAAATAAACATAATATCTCCTAATCATCATATTAGGCTTCTTTATCAACCTGCATCTCTTGAAACCTTCCTACGTTAAAACCATGACATTGGAAACAAGCTCGGGAACGTTTAACCAATTGTAAATATTAAAGTGAAGCCTGGTGCTACCAACTATAGAACAGGAAACTCACAATAGGCACATCGAAATTATCCCTTTTGTCATGCAGTTCGGTGGAAAACTGTCCATGGTGGTTTCGTTGAAGGAAAAGATGGAGATACGCGGCTGATGCATTAAAGGCTTTGTCGTCTCGTTAACCAATAACATTACATAAATGAAATGTTTCAACAAAGCATAAAAGGATTAGGCAACAGACCTAGCATATCCGTACAACACAGGTATATCAAGGCGAACATAACAAACACATGGTGTATCCCCATCTTCATCACAAATCAAAGGCTACTTTAATCAAATATATGTATTCTAAACCAAATCAAATTTTTGTTTTCAACAGTTATGGCTTCCATCTTCAGATAAAAAATGGTAATGGTTAATGGTTTTAATTCATTCGAATAGTGGTAGACACTGCTGGTGGACAGTCGCCTCCTATGCTTCACAATCTAGGCCTTTATCATCACTGACGATTCCTAAAAGGACGAAACAGCTGCATGATGTAACATCACTGACGAGTCCTAGAAGAACGAAACAGCTGTGTGATGTAGCATCACTGACGAGTCCTAGAAGAACGAAACAGCTGTAAGATGTAGCATCACTGACGAGTCCTAGAAGAACGAAACAGCTGTGTGATGTAGCATCACTGACGAGTCCTATAAGAACGAAACAGCTGTGTGATGTAGCATCACTGACGAGTCCTAGAAGAACGAAACAGCTGTATGATGTAGCATCACTGACGAGTCCTAGAAGAACGAAACAGCTGTGTGATGTAGCATCACTGACGAGTCCTAGAAGAACGAAACAGCTGTGTGACAGATTAATGCATTGTTTGACTCTACTGTATCTAATTCTAAATTACTAAAATGTACTATTCACTTGTGTGTGTTTTATACAATCAATAAGCCGATGTCGAAATTTTACTCAAACTTGTAAATGGACTTCAGTACGTTTCAAGAAGTAGTAATGCTCCCCTGTTCCATCACCAACGACACAGGGACATGTTCAGAAATCTCTCAAATGATTACAGAAAAAGTTATGATTTAATGGGCTGACGTTATTTTGTGCCTTTAATGATTTTGACATATTTATCCAAATGGCTTTTTGTACATATAATTGACGTAATGTATCTATCCATTTACAGTCTTCAGGTTCAGTTGATCCTTGTGGGACTCTGTGACAAGCAGGTCATTTCCTATCACATGAACTATTCAATCATATCACGGGGAAATATCCAGTTATCCTCTCACTTAGATTCATGTAAAGACGGAAACAAGGTTTGTACGTTATGACCCAAAACGTCAGCACCAATCAACATACCACAGAATAAGGTTAAAGTTTGTTTGAAAATTGAGAATACATGGCCAGTGTCTTAAAAAATAAGCTGTATTTTTGCGAGGGTGAAGAAAGAAAAAAAAAAGGCACTGGCCATGTATCCTGAATATTGATTGAAAATCAGGCCATCAAATCTTCGGTATTTTTGTTGCTCAAGCTTTGTTTACCAGTCGTTGACATTACGCTGAAATTTGCCTAATGACGTACGCTAGAATAATTGCTCCGCGTAGAAATGTAGTTCCAAAATTCAACGGTTATGGCAGCGATTTTATGAATTTTCGTAAATAAACTGATTCATTACAACATATTAATCACTTTTTTTCATCAGTAATTTATATCATTAAATGTAAATGTAAAGTAAATTCAGAAAGGAATTCTGTCGAATTACCGCACGTGCTAAAACACAGCTGTTTTCCGTCACTGCCGAATACCGCAAAAATATATGGGGCATGTGTGTTCTGACAACGGCAGTGCCAGTTGCAGGACAGGGTTTACATGACTGGTGTCGTTCATTCGTTTACCCTTGCGGAACGCCTGGTTTTATTACACTGGTACCTATTCAGGAGTCTCCGTGTAGATCTTTCTTTTATTCCTAATAATCTTTTTGTGTAAGACAATTGCATTGGTTTCTTTAAGACTGGGACATAATAATTCAAATCACAGCGTTAACAATGTCATTTTCCAAAGAGTGATCGGTACAGCTCCATTAGAGTAAAGTTCATTGTTATTGCCAGAAAGTAACATTAGCTTATCACATTGGAAGTACAGTTAGCAAACTTAGAACATCAGATCAGTGAATGTGTTTCCTCGGAAAGTCCTCCTCTATCCTGTATAAGTTGCAAATAATCATACAGTAGTACTTTTGTGAATCAACACAATACAATCACTTTTACTCACTACATCCCTTGAACCACCCCTGGTACTCTATTGGGTATAATCACTTTCACTCACTGCACCCCTGGAACATTTCATGGCAAAATTGAAAGCACAAGAGAAGAAATTTGCTGCTTTCAGGAGGGGAAAAATAACCAAACAGAGGCAGATACGCTTCTTTTGAAAATTACAACTGCAAAGTCATTACATTATGCCGTTATGAGACCTCTGAACGATCGTAATCCCTGGAGTATCGGGGATGAAATAGACAGGAAGGTTGGTTCAGGTCCTATCAACAATAATGTAGAATAATTTAAGGACGGTCTCGCGGTATGTTGACAACATGTGTTTTGGGAGGCTGCGATATGTTTATATAAGTCATCTTGTGATAGGGAAGACGACTTTAGCACGAGGGCTGTTTGTTTTCGTCAGTGTGATACACGATCAATTTTCTGTCCGGTTATGTATATAAATTACTATTGTTTAATGCTCATTATTCGGCCGTATTTGTACTACTTCCTGTATTCGGTTTAAATCACTCTGTTATGAGCAAAAGTATATTTTTAAACAAAAAGAAATAGAAATTTTCAACATTTAGTGTATCTTTGAAATATTCGTGAGAATTTTTCGACTTAGGTTTGCATTTCAAGGGAAACACTCTTATCAGATATTGCAAAATTTTCAACATTAACGAAAATAGAAGTTTGATCTAAGTTTCATTAATATAATATGAAATAGGAAAGCAATTTCTTCTTCTTATTCTTCGTCTTCGTCTTCTTCTTTCTATCATTTTTTCTATGATTTCGTTTCGGAGTCTTCGGCATAAATGTGTTTATACATAAATAATAAAAAATGAGTATTATAGCTCTTGGACATAATATGGTTTCATCGATATATTTGGACGAAATATTTATTGGTATAAAATCATTGATGGGATAG